CAAAACACATGCACCTTATTTCTCAAACCTCTGAGAAAGCTGGCAGTCACTGAAATGCCAACATGGTGAAGTAACAAATAATTAGGCCCCTGACTTAATTAACAAACTAAGAATTAATTAGTAGATTTGTTTATTAATTAATTCCTGCTAAAGTGAGTTAAAGTAGAAGTAACTTTCCTGTGCTTGTGTATAGTTTTTTCCATTTTCTTTAACCGGTCAGGCTTGCGAGCTAAATAGAAGTGATGCCTGTTAGTTGGTATTATTTTCTCTTGGTATAGTTTCTTGGCTGTCAAAGGATGACCAGTTAGTCATGTGTAAGAATCCATCCATCCATTGTCAACCACTTATCCTGCGTACAGGGTCGTGGGGGGGCTGGAGCCTATCCCAGCTGACATCGGACAAAAGGTGGGGTACACCCTGGACAGGTCGCCAGTCCATCACAGGGCCACACATAGACAAACAACCACTCACACCAAAGGACAATTTTAGAGAGCCTGCACACCTTTGGATGGAGGGAGGAAGCCAGAGCACCCGGACACGGGGAGAACATGCAAACTCCACACAGAAAGGCCAGGGCATCCGGGGTTTGAACCCACGACCTTCTTGCTGTGACAGTGCTAATCCCAGTTATGAAAATAAGATGTTCTATAAAATGTTTTAGGCTTGAAGCCACTGATTATTGGATAACACATTAAGGCAGCACATTAAGGCAGTGTTGCATTTTATTAAAGCCATACATTCTCTCCCACTCTCTTCTTTCTCTTTCTTTAAACACACTAACACACACACTGTCTCCTTTTTGCTCTCTGTTCGTGCTGGTAGTTGGCAAACAGTATTAGTAGGAGATTAGTGTTTGGTGGCTCACACCTATTTGGAGGTTTGAAATCGGAGGTCACACCAGCCATTGTGACAGTGGGTATTTCAATTCAATATGGTTCATGTATGAAGAGCAACTGAAATAGCAGACACAAAAGGAACACAAATAAGTACACTTGCATTAAAAGCTGGCAAAGTGTAGAAAGTGGCAGTGTTATGGTTAATGAAAATGCAAGGTAATTTATATCCATTATAACTCCATTTCAAAATGAAGCAAACATGTTTGGTGTGAATGTGAATGTATCAACACAAATGATCAGACCGGTTGACCAAAATCTGCCTACAGCCAGGGTTTAGTGCAGCCAGGGTTTAGCTTACTATTGTAACAGGTACCCTACCTGATATAGGTTAGTATAGATTCAAGCAGCTAGTAGCATTGATGTCGATCCCCTCTCAGCTAAAGAGTCTGTCACCTTTCAGCACCATTACAACAACCCATTTTAATGATGTTGAAACGTGACAACCCTGTTAGGCGAGTGACATGAACCGGCAGTTGTGAAACCCGTCTTGCGCAAATAACAATGACCCATATTAACACAGGGCTTATCTTAGGATATGAGATTAAACTTGTGCCCAGTATCCCATGCACACAAGGGGTTTGTGTTTTAAAGAGGTGTAACAATTACTTCCTATAAAGCGCAACAGAGACAGGTGGTTCAGGTTCAAGAGGCCAGAACAGCCTGTTTATCATTTGTGGACAATGGTGAAGCTATTGGTGATGGCCTGTTGCTGGGTGAGCAGTTGTTAAGTGTATATTCTTGACAGCAGTGTTCTATTCAAAAGCTCATTAACAAGGACGGTACCCAAGAAACTGTCATCAATTTCTTCACCAATTGTGTCTGTATGTGACACTCATTACAGCTTTTTGTATTGTGAGATCCATTAGCATTCCTTGTTTTTGTAATCTTGTGATCCAGGCATGGGTTGTTGCATCACTGGACGAACAGTACTTGTTTATGATCTTGAGTCTAAGCCGGAAGGTAGGAAAGAAAGGTCCATGTCATCTGAAAATTTGATGACATGGGGGTTGGGATACACACTCTCCTGGTTGCTTCTGTACAGAACAAAAAGCAGCAGAGAGAGAGGACACATGCCAGTGTGGGGACCAGTGCTTCAGTAAGGTTTGTTAGAGTACTTTCCATTTACCCTGATTATCTGTGATCGTTGTGTCAAGAAGTCGGTTAATCATAGGATTAGCGGTTGTTTGAGATGGAAACAGGACAGCAGTTGTATGCCAGGATATGAGGTTGCAGTGTGCTGAAAGTGGGTGAAATTTGGCAAACATCAGCCTGCCTGCTTCCGCCTCTCCAAATCACTACAAGTGTGCTGGTCGTTAGTCCAGTCAGCTCCCCTCCTTCCCCCTCATTTCTTTTAGATTTTCACTAAAAGCAATGAATTCATTGAACTGACACAAGAGATCACACTTACTCATTGCTTTTAATTTTGCATATGAAGAGATGGAGTGTTAGCTTTACTTGAGGAAATGAATGCATTTGTGAAGTCCCTTACAGGTTGCATCACAGCAGATGCAGTATTAGCAGACCGTGTCTGCATTTCCAGGACAGAAGTTTGTTTGTGTTTAAGACAGACAGAGAGGCAGAGAGAGAGAGAGAGAGAGAAAGAAAGGAAGGAAGGATGAAAAAAGAAAGAGAGAGAAAGAAGGAAGGAAGGAAAGAAGGAAAGAAAGAGGTGTTAATAGAGCCATCACTCAGCCCTTTGGCAGTGATATCTTGTTTTCCTCTCAGACTTGGCTAGATGTATCGGTGCCCCTTGTGTGTTATTGCCGGGCTGAAGCATTGGTTGTAGATCACTGTGAAAACTGTGAAGCACAGGGCACAGTGGTCTCCTGAATGACAGCAGCGAACCCTATTAAGGAGAGATATTGGACATCGGCGTGTCCTGGGAACATGCAGATGAACCAACAACATCCCTGCACTGGCCACAAGATGCAAATGAGTAGAGAATGTTAGAACTGCAAACAGAAACCCCACAGCACCATCAGCACCATCACATTCTGCCTCACACTTTGTTTGAGCCACATCTCCCATGATAACAGTTTTCTTATTGCCATATGTGTACTTGCTACAAGGTGTTGTGCCAGAGGGGCATCCTATAGTCCTTGCTTAGTGTTGCACTTCGTGATCTATATTCAGCCATTTCAAGAGCAAAGATAATGTTATGCTGTTCCCAGAGACAGTTAAGTGCTTGTGTTTCCCCCTGGAGTCACATGTCCCACTACCAGCCTCCGGATAAATCGCACCGGAGTATCTTTTCTTTTGTCTCGCCTAATCAGTCTGCAGCAATATTTTCCACCTGCTAAATAAAAAATAAAAAATACGAAAAGTGAATGGACAACTAACTTAAATAAAAAATAAACCCAGTCATTCTTGACTAAACCTCACTGCTGTTGATATTTATATTTGAGGTATTAGTTTCAGTGGCATTAAACTGTCATGTTGGTAAGCATTTGTATAATACCTGATCTATTAACAAATGAGTCATTACTTGGAGGGATATGGCTTTGTTTGACGGCTATGTGTTTGTGTATTCATGTTCCCATCTATCATCGTTTGGATGCGTACTCACGTCTATGTTTTGCATCTATCCAGACACAAACACACCATGTCAATGCTCCGTGTGCAAAACAAATTGGAGCACTCTGTACAAGAAAAGCTTGCCAGGGGCTAGTCATTTTGAAATTAAAAGCATGTCTCTTTGTTCAGCCTTAGTTCCAGGAATAACGGAGAGAATGTGAATGTGTCGCACGGAAGGAAGAGGAACACTGTGTGATTCCCTGGCTGTGAAAATCACAGCACTTGCTCAGTCTTTTATCTATCCCCCTCAATCAGGAGACATCCGGCAGGAAAGGTAGGAGGATTAGATTAGCTAGAGAGGGAGAGAGAAAGAGAGAGTGGGTTCTCTAATCCTGATGGGGTTTTCAGAGGTGCACCCATCACTGTGGAGAAACATGCAGTGTGCGTCGGGGAGTTGGGATCGGGAGGGGTGGATGCGGGACGGTTTGCCTCACTAAACCCTTCACACTTGCATGAAAGAGGTTCCAGCAAACTAGAGGATTAGCCAAAGTGTAATTACACTTGCAGGGCCTCAGAAGTAGCAAAACGTGCGCTGACTGGAACACACCTCAGACGGGCAGGGAGGAAGGGAGTAATGCCTGTTAATACGTTGCCGTTGTAGTTGTCGGTGAATTCTTCAACTGAATTAACAGTCTTTAGTGAACACCAACATCTGAGAGATCAAAGACGTCTTTATGGGACTACTGTAGATCTGCCTGAACGACATTTAGGATGTCTCCGTCTTCTTCAATTTCAATGAGATGTTTATTTCCATAATTTATACAACTTTTTTATTTCAGGGAAAGGAGCTGTGGATTTAGTTTGTGGACATATTTAACAACTGATTAAACACAGTTGTTGTCAAAAAGTACTAATTTCTATAGTAGGATTGCATTGCGATAAAAACTGTGACATGTTTCAGGTCCTGTCCCACAGCCCAACCAGTTCACCCAAGAGTCAGACCTTGGAAACTCCGATAAAATCACGATTTTTTACATACATTGAGAAGAAAAACAAAACATATATTAAGGCAACAAAATATTAACAAACAACAGTAATGACATGTATTATTAAACACTAAACAAGGATGGCACTCTTTTAGGTTCGCAAAATAAAGTGTAGCTTAGTTTTCTGCAAAATACCCTTGAGCATTGTCTGCATGTGCCTGTATACTTAAAATATCAAACACTGTCAGTTGAGAGGATTTCGTCTACAGTGGTCTTCCTGTAAATTATTATATTGTACTGCTGTGGTGGAGAATGGACTGTGGGGATGTTGTGTTATTTCTTACATTGTGCACCATAGTGATTTTTTGAGGGGTTTGCAAGTGGAAGGAAGAGAGTGAGAGATAGTGGAAGCTTGGGAAGACAGAGTAGGCAAGTTTTGAGGTATTTTGTGTGTGTGTGTGTGTGTGTGTTTGTGTGTGTTGGCAGGAAGAAATCTGATGGTTTGAATCAGCCATCTTACTGCTGTCAATTAATAATTAACTTTTCTATTCCATTTTGTTCAGTCAATCTGTTTGTGTCATTTTATTCTCATTTTATTCTTCAGGTCCTCGAGGTGAGGCCCTGCAGCATGGCCAATCTGGGACACTGCCCCTCTTCCTGGAAGAGCCTGTCGATGCTTACATCGTCAAGAGTAACCCCATCAAGCTCCGGTGTCAAGCTCGGCCTGCTCTTCAAATCTTCTTCAAGTGCAACGGTGAATGGGTCCACCAGAGCCAGCACATGTCTCAGGAGCACACAGACCTGGGGACAGGTACAGTAAAAACTTAACACATTAAATAAATACTTACATTCATTTGTATACAGACATACACACTGTACACATACAAGATATACAGACACACAACACACAACTTGCTACTTTAAAAAAAACAATCCCATCAAGCCTTCTTCCTGTCACTTTGAGTTATGAGGATAGCATTCATCTCTGATAGCAAGGACTGAAGTCTTAAAAATTATCTTTGCAAATGGGGCTTTATGACAATACAGTTATGTCCAACCCTGAAAATATATTTGCCTCGCTTCTTTACTGCATACTGTGTGTCACATTTGATCTGAACTGAAATGACAACTGTTAGACCATGAAAGGCACCTACTTGTTCAATTTTAGGATTCGACTTTGAACTCTGAATTGTGCCTTTTACTGATGCAACTTGCTGAAATACAGCTGTTGTTGTTGTTGTTTAAACTTCAAAATATGTTCATTCAAACCACAAAGGAAAATGTCCTTTTGTCTCTAAAGCTCTTGTGTGTTTTTGTTGCATCATCTCACAAAGGGTATTAAATATGAATTCAATTATGTACAGCAAACTGGCAAAAATAAAATCCTGAATTATACTTTCTTTTTTCTCCCTAAATGTACTGTATTGTAATTAGACAAATTCTTAAGTATACGCTGAGAAACGTTACTTGTTTTATCTAGTGGGCGAAAAGTTGTGTTCAAAGCATTAGGAAAACTAAGGTGCTAGTATGATTTTTATTTTTTTTTAATAATTTTGTTTTTATTGTGTGGCCCTATCTAGTATCCATGTGAACAGAAAAACCATAAGTAGTAGCTAACTAATAATTAAGGCCTAGGACTGCACTGAACATCACATGAGTACCATCTAATTAGGTTATAACTTACTGAAAGAGACGAGGATGAAGGCAAAATATTTATGAACCTGGCTTGGCTGCTATTAGTACAACAGTGTTGATGCTTCACTTAACATACAGCACCAATCAATATCTCCCCCCAGAGTTAACAATGGTCCTCTATATTTTTTACTGCCTCTAGTCTGGATTCATAGCTCTGCTCCCATCTGACTCCTTATCACCATTCATATCTGTTTCCACTGGAACAGACAAGGAAGAAGAAATAGGGAAGAGAGAGAGAGAGAATGCTATTCTGAGGGCTGCTTCCTGTCTATTAACACTTCAGACTGTTGCTATAGCACCAGTGCTCAAAGCTGAGGTGACAGTGTTACCAACCTTGCAAAGTTTAAATTTAATGAAGGCAGAAAAATCAAGTCATAATGTTAGTGGAGAGGCTGGAAGAAACCGCCTGAATAAATACACGACTTGATCCTCCTGCCAATAATGTAATTGTATGCATTTCCATCTCCCACCAACATTTCTTTAAACCATGATAGAGATCTTTTCCTATCAATGATGTGTAAATAAGAAACTGTTAAATGCTAAAGTTTGCCATATCAAGTGTATTAAAAAGTGTATTATTTAAGAGTGATATATTCACAGTTTGTTTCTGCTGCCCACAAGTGGCAAAAACATTAGTTAATTCAGGTTAGAATATAACCATATCTTAACCATAATGTATTTGGCATAACCACATCCTTTCCATTACGCAGGATGCCCCCAAGAACTGGTTTCCCCTCAACAAATCCTTATGGAGCAATGTCATGAATGTAGTTCTATATGTTTTATACTTTTGTGGCACCCAGTAGCAACAATAGTTTTAAATGACATTTAAGGCATAAACTACCAGGAAGCAGCATTCTATTAAAATATGATATAATATAATATAATATACACCAGTGGTGGAAAGTAACGAAGTACAAATACCTGTTACTAAGTAGTTTTTTTCTGTACTTTACATGAGTATTTTTTGTTGTTGCAACTTTTTACTTTCACTTCACTATATTTCAAAGCCACTCGACTTGTTACTCCATTACATTCTGCACGAGACCTTGTTACATTGGTATTAGTTGCCTATGTAGCGCAGCTGAGTAGAGCAGCACTGAAAAACACATGTAAAGCTGATAAAGCTGACGTGGTGCGAATCAACTTCAGCCAGCTATATTGAATATAACCATATCTTAACCCTAATGTATTTGGCATAACCACATCAGTGACAGTCCAGCGCAGAGCTGGATGGCCCCAACTCACTTTCCTGTTAAAGGTGAACACAAATGTGAATGTTTACAACTTTGATTAGAGGATGAAGAGGGAGACTATCCTTCTAGGCACGTGAAGAGAAAAAAACTCAGGAACAGCAGTCAGGTAAACGTGTTCTCTCCTCTATAAGTCTGATGTAGATCACACTTGGTCTTCACCATCTATCCATCCATCCATCGTCAACCGCTTATCCTGCGTACAGGGTCGCGGGGGGCTGGAGCCAATCCCAGCTGACATCGGGCGAAAGGCGGGGTACACCCTGGACAGGTTGCCAGTCTTGGCCTGCACATCTCAGTAAATAATAAGCATCACAAATTCAGCCCAGTCATTTTATAAAAAGTATTTTATATATAAAAATGTATTGAAGGAAATCTGGAGGAGCCAGTTTGAATGGGCCTCATGCAGCTGATAACATTAATATATAGAAAATATCTATCATTTACAGGGGCTGTGCTAAAGTTTGTCAGTAGAGTAGATGTGGGATCATCAGCCGTCTACAGTCCAGATGTCTTTAGCGGGTCCCACAGACCCAGGTGAAATACAAGTAGCCTTAACCATGACGAGCACAGCCAGAGATGTACAGCCAGCATCAGATCCAAGCAGCTCAGACCCTCATGGAACAGTTGCTGCTCCACCAGATGACCCATCAGATGTCTGTTCAAACCAGCACTGGATTTTTCTAGAAGCGGTTTCTATTCAGGCTTCTTACAGAGGGAGGATTGTAATGAGAGCCTTGTGGTGTCAGGTGTGGCTGTGCAGCAGCTCTTTTTTAGCACTGTGAGTTGCAGGCAGTTTGTGACCGAGTGATAACGTAGCTGGTAGACTTTTGCAATATAAACATCTGAAAACTGAAGCCAAGTTTGCTCTGTGTGGCACTGTGATCTGCACTTTATCAGAGGTGCTGAAGTTAACATGTGGATTTTTGGTGAGATTGTGAATTGAGAAGTGTTTCACTTAGGTTTGGTTTCTGCCTCCTTGTCTCATCTTAACATTTTCAATTTAGACATTTTCACTTAGGGGTGTACTCACTTTTGTTGCCAGCGGTTTAGCCATTTGGCTGTGTGATGTGTTATTTTGAGCGGACAGCAAATGTACACTGTTATATAAGCTATACACTCACTACTTTATATTGTAGCAAAGTTTCATTTCTTCAGTGTTCACATGAAAAGATATAATCAAATATTTACAAAAATGTGAGGAGTGTACTCACTTTTGTGAGATTCTGTATATACATATATATATATATATATATATATATATATATATATATATATATAATATTCATTATTCAAAAGTCTAATTTGGTTGAGTAAAAACAGCTTCAAGAACAAGGAAGTAAATATAAGGCAGTGGCTTACTAGACAAGAGCAAAATATATTCAAAATCCACTAGCTATACCACAGATGTCTTGTCGGATTTTCCGATGTTCAAGAAGTTCAATAAACACACATATAGACATGCAACATTAGTTGTACAGCATAGAAGATGAAGTCACTCAACTAAGCTTGCCGCAGGCAACTCTGCTTGGCATGCTGCTGCTATCGCCATATCAGATGACAGCATAGACCTGCACACCACCAAACTAAAGTCATTTGCGTCAACCCTTCGTGAAGGAGCCAATTTAGCCCACTCAGATCACCAACAGGTGCCTCTTATTACCTAATCACTGAATTACAGGTACAGCCAGACCAACTACCCTGCAGCGTCAGTTGCCTCTTGGGTACACTGTCACAGTGTGGTAGTTGCTCTGTTGGTTTGTCATGTAACTGATCAACTTATCATCAGGCACAAGATGATACAAATTGAACATGATGGTGCAGTTTAGTGCTTCAGTATACAAGAAGATAAAGTACAAAATTGACATAAGTAGTGGCCCTCTGGCATGACATACAAATACCAGAAATTATTACAGCTACTTTATTGGATGATGCCTCAAAATGAAAAAATTGGAGGACAAAATGTCCCAAAAGCAGAGCCAATATCTGCAGATTTTTAAGAACACTAGATATTTTACAGCCCACACTTGGATGTGACTGCACACTCCAACGGCCTCCTCTGAAAGCAGTAAATAGCTTCGTATGATTGATGAACACATCATTTGTGCACCGTAGAGATGTCCTTTCAAGCATGGCATAATTTAAGCCCAAATAAGGGATTCCACATCCCTCTTTTCGATCTAACATTAAATGAGCAGGAGTGTAAAATAATTCCCCTTTAATGCTGACAGTTTTTGTTATCAGACGTTTCTCCATTACATATTTATTTTTTTGCTTTGGTAAATTGTGATGGGTTTTGAAACTAAAATGGAAATATAATAGCCAGTAGCAATATTTGCCATAATTTTATGGCTTTGGGAAACAAGGATGAAGCAAAAGTCTCCAATACTTTTAGTGAAATTGTGTTTAAATTGTGTAAAATATGTGATATGGCTTTTCTAATTGCATTCTATGGGCCTTTTTAAAAATAAAAAAGCATGTTTGGCAAACAGAATACTAAAATCCTATTCTTCATTGCTACAGGTTGGGGGAAAAAAACCTATGTCGCTTTCGGGTTTAGCTGGTCAATACGATGGTTAATGCTTCAGTTTTCAGAAACACAATTTTTTTTTCTCAGACACCAGCATATGACTGGATCACATATATCGCTCCAGTATCCACACATGTATATGCAGTTGACATCCTGCCTGTCTGTCATATGTCTAAGGACATGGCTCTATGCATGGAAAACCGGACATTCATGCTTTCATTCTTTCCCCAGAGGATAAATCCTACTGACTTTGGTGATCCCCTGACTGTTGATCTAACGCCGAATTCAAGGTTTTACTTATCCAGTAACATATCTCTTTCAGAGGAATTGGTG